ATATATGAATGAAAAACCATGAGATATTTAAGCTTGTATGTCTGACTTATCTGACTGAACATTATGGTTTCAAGGTACATCCATTTTCCTACAAATGACTCAAGTTTCTCTTTCTTTTTTGGTACTGGGGATTGAACTTGGGACTTTGCACTTGAGAGGCAGGCAACCACTGAGCTAAATCCCTGGCCCAACTTTATCCTTCTTATGGCAGATTAGTACTCCATTGTGTATAAATACTCCATTTTTCTTTATCCATTCATCTATTGATGGACATGCTGGCTGTTTCCAAGATTTAGTGATTAAGAATTGTGCTTCTATAAACATGAATATGTATACTGTACTTCACTGTGATGTGTCTTTTAACTCTTTTGGGAATACACTTAGAGTAGCTGAACCAAATGGAATTTCTAGTTTTAATTTTTTTTGTTGTTTTTTTAGTTTTAATTTTTTGAGGAGTCTCCATATTGATTTCTGTAGTGGTCATATCAGTTTACACTCTTTACCAACAATAAACAAGGATTCTTACTTCCCCTCAGCCTCTCTAGCATTTGTTATTGGTTGATTTCTTGAACATAGCCATTATTTCTTGAATGAGGTGGAATCTGTATTGCTTTTTTGTTTTGTTTTTTTTCTTTTTTATTGAGAATATTGGTACAATCTAGGTATACAAATACAGTTACATTCATCGTTGGGATTCTGTACCTTTACATGACAGGTCTTGATTCTCATTTTTTCCCCTTGTCCCTGCCCTCCCTTCATCCCTTCCTCCTCTCCCCATTTTTAAACACTTTATTTCCATTTTTTCAGTTTCTCATATTTTTTCCTCTCCCTTATTACCTTTCCCCCACCCTTCCCACTTTCCTTACACCTTTAGCCCTTTACTTCCTATTTCACATTATTAATTGTCTCATTAGGATCCTGTGTACTATTATAGTTTTTCACACCAAAGAAACTATTCGGTATTTCAGTTAAAGAAATCTCTGTATGAACATTAAAAATAGGGAATCCTAAAATAAAACTAAAAAGGAAAGTAAAAGAGAAAAGGCAAT